GCACTTTTTTTTGTCAAAAGAAAAATACAGTAGTTATAATCAGAGACATAAAGAACCATTATCAAGGAAAAAATGGGCCTGATCTTAGTCTTACATTGGTAATGAGATCCTGAATAGTGGTTAGTTAACGCATGAAAAGCTATCTTGTTATAATGAGATAGGTTGTCTTGACTGAAATGGAGTCAGTGGTCAAAGTTCTTCATATCACCACCTCCAACATAAAACAGGTTTTGGGTACAGAAGTAGGAAAGTACAAGAGAAAACCCTAAATTATGAGATTCAGCTTCATATGTATTTTAAGAGCTCCCACTCAGTTACTAGCAACAATTCTAATGAGAGACCATAGACGGCCCCATAAGTTGTTTAATCAAATATCAGAAAATAAATGGTGATATTTGATTATCACCATTAAATGGTGGCTTCTTGTTTAAATTACTGCAACAAATTTCAGGGTAGTGGTGCTTACCTCTGAAGTCTTAAATAGCTTGGGACAAGGATTATGGATTGTGCCAATAAATTGTACATTTTCTGTTAGGATCTGCCTTCAGAAGAGGCTGGGTGGGTGGGAACACAGTGCAGGTGGCACCATCTTTTGTCTTTTCTGATGCAGCAGCATCAGATATGTGGAACACCATCCTCCCAGATGACGATAAGAAATTGGGCATTCTGTGGGGGGAAGGGGGAGGAAGGATGGCCTTAGATCTCCTGGATCCTAAGGTCCTCTGTTCCCCTGGAGTGGGACCAATCCAGGGCCACTGGGTGCACCAGCCAGCATGAGCTGGCATAAGCCAACAAGGTGATTGGTTGCCAAAAGATAAACATGGGCTGGGACCTCAGCACACAGTATTAACATGTTATCGGTTTCTAAATATGTCCTGAATGTTGCATGTAACTTGACCAAGAAACCAGCTCTCACATTTACTATCTGGTGGGTTGGATCAAAGATCTATTTTCATAGAAATTCACAGCTTTACAAAGAAGCCTTCACACAATTTTAGAGGTTTCCCTTTCCCCTGCATTACAGCTTACCTCTTCATACTCTTTATTTAGCCTACGCAGAAAGCTGGTGGGGCTGCTGGAAAAGGAGGGATAGGGAGGTCCACTTCCAATAACATTACCTCTTCCACTTGGCTAAATTAGCCAATATTTTCCCCAAAAGATCTTAGTGTTCAGAGCACAGCTTTCCCCCATGCGACAAAGAAGTCAAAATAACCACCGGCACTTGCTCCATGTAGTCAAGTGAGCATTGGCTTTGTAGCAACTCTAGCTTTTGTCACTTGCTTAAATAATATCCAGTCTATGTAGCAATGTGTCCTAGGAAAATTGTCAAGTGCACGTGTCAAGACACAATAGTAATTTGAATTACTCAGTACCTTAATGTTTTGATCAATCCAGTATACACCATGAATAGGAAAAGAAATATCTATATTAAAAAAGTAAGTGATCTATAGAGCCCAGATTTCTCAGTTAGTACTTGCTATGCTGGCAAATCATATTGCAGTATATCATGTTGAGAAGTATGATAAGTAATTTTTGAGAAATCTGGTATCACTTACATGATTGATATTTGCCTGCTTGGAACTCCAGAAACTCTGACAGTTGTGGCACATGATTTTGGGGTGTGGGGAAGGAGGGGACCCTAGTTCGGAATGCAGGAGGTTCTAGACTCAGTCCTTGATACATTCCATGTCATAAAATGGATCAGGTAGCAGCCTGTAAAATGTTTTTGCCTCAAACCCCAGAAAACCATTGGCACTCATAATAGACAATACTAGGTCAAGCAGTAGGATGTACTTCCTATGCCCCTTGTGGGTATTCATATTATGTAGAAATGGAAGACTAACCAGGAGCATGGGGCAAATGAAAACCCTCTCATTTCTTTTCTTACAGCCTTACGCTGAAATGTTGAGCTTGGAAGGGAGAAACATGACTTTATGGCGATCAATACCAGGTAATAAAAAGCCGCTCAAGCTTCATGCAGATGTGCTGTCTAAATGTACATCACCTTTTCTATTAATACAGGATATTCCATATGAAAAGACACATTTTGTTTTTCAGTATTCACTAGCAATGGGACATTCAGGTTAATACGTTTTTCAAAAATCATGAAAGAGACTCCAACTTTCATTTTGGGGGGGTTCTTCTGTGGCTTCCTAACAAAGAGCCTCTTAAACCTGAATATTTCCTTTTAATGAAAAAGAGGAATGCAAAAGTTTCAGACTCTTCTGTGATTCCCTCTTTCGTCTGTCAAATTGCCTCAGGAAATCATCTATCAAATAGTTTCACAAGGACTGTTTTCACCAGTCAATTAAAATGTCAGAGGTGGGGAGGTGGGATTTTTTGAAGCTGTAAAATGCCCTGTATTGGTTGTTGGAGCCCAGTAGGAGTGTTCTAAATCAGTCATTCGCAATGGGTGCCTGGCACATTTGAAGGGGGTCACAGACTGGAAACAGTTCTCCACACACCATCTTATAAGGTTCATGATGAGACTTACACAATGCTGATTCTGCCTATATTTCCTTCTTGTTTATGCCCATGGCGAATAAAAGGTTGAGAATGTCTGCTCTAAATCTCAAATTCCTCTTTGACCTATGCCCTCGCTTGCTACAAACCTTCTTTTTCTCTCCCTCTTGTTGAAGTTTTTGTGGCGTGTTCATGTGTAAGCAAATCACCTGGAAGGCTGAGAGATCCTGGAAATATGAAAGATGGGGATGAGATTGAGGTAAGGGTGATGAAGAAAAGCAGGAAGAACGACGGAATGGCCGGGGCAGACTCACTCCTGCTGAGAGGAGTTCTAGAGCCAGGAATTACACCTAGCATGGAGAAATGCTAACGACTTTTCCAACATCCTTTCTTTGTTTCTTTTTTTCAAGAATACTTTTTCTCATTCTTTTTTTATTTTTAAGTGCACCCTAAGCAGCCCTTCATGAGCAAAGGTTGAACAAAAAGTCCTAGGCCTCAGGAATATCGGTTAGGGTGGTGGTGGCGGCCAGCAGTTAGAATGTAGCATCAAAATTATAATAGTTTGCCTAAAGGTGTCTTTTAGTTTCTCCTTCTCCTTCTAGGGAGGTACAGGACTTGAGGAGAGCTCTGCTCAGAGTGGACTTCCTCCCTCCCTCTTCTTTCCTCTTTTTCTTTTTGAATTGCATCAAAGGCAAAGGAAGATCTGTGAAACAAATGGGAGGGCAATAAATAGGGATAGGTTACTCAGTGGCATGGGCAGTAGCGGGGTGGCGGGGTGGGGGGGAAAGAAATGTATACAATTTAACACCTCCAGCTCCAAGACCAGAAGTGTAAAGCTGCTGTCTGCTTGCACATTTCTGGCCATGTGGATCACAGTTTGCACTGTGCTTTGGAGTTTACAGTGGATGTGACTCTTGGCTACCTTGGCTGCACTTTGGTGGTGGGTTCTTAGGCTTTTTCACTACTAGCACCAGTAAACCAGATGGGGAAAACAAAACAGAAGAAACTGGACGAGCTGGTCCATTTCGGGTTGAATGAAAGGACCAGCAGCTGTAACAAAAGGGGCACCCTCTCCAAAAACTGAAACAAAAATGGAAGTTTTCACAGTGCATATCCCCGGTATTCCCTACTGCCATCTGTTCTTAAGAATAATACCAAAGTAATGGCAACAATTCAGAGGTGTAAAAAGCAACATCTCCAAGCAGTGACTATCTGTGTCCTACTCATTTATTTCAGAGTAATCTGATATTACCAGTACTGAGATCATATTGTTGGATTACATGAAGTAACAATAGTCCTTACCTGCATGGGAATATTCTCCTTTACAACCTGACTGGGTGAGACTGGGATAAGTACGTTGCCCATATTAAAAAGTGGTCAAGATTTGGGTTCAGGTATGACATGGCATCCATTTGCCCTCAATGTGTTTTTATGAAACTAGCAAGTCAGAACAAAGCAGAACAATTGGAAATCAATTCTGCAGGGTAGGTTGGCACAATATCTTAGTAAACTGAGTTGAAAAGATTTTATTGGATTTGGATTACATTCAATATGCTGTTTACTCTAAAACATAAGGTTTTGTTTCAGAATTGGTCCTCCCTCTCTCTGAAACCCACTGCAGATTCTCATTAGAAGCAGCAGTTGACTCCACGTGCTATTTTCTAAATTTTACATTTAACATTCAAAGGAACTGTTATAGCCGTTGTTGTTGTTGTTGTTGACTATTAATTAGAGGATGGAGAGATTAATGATCAAAATAAAGCTGCTGCTTTCTGGGCCAAGGTCTGAGTGTTCAGGGAACAAATACACACATGAAAATAAGGTTGACTTTTATTTACTTAACTATCTTCTTACCCTGAATTTTTTTGCTAACATTATTTTAAACATTTAAAGCCCTGTTTACAAGCAGACTCTGAAAGTAGCTTCAAACCATTATATCCTTAATTGAATTCCCCAGGAGCCCAGTAAACTCAAAGGAATAAGGAAAGATACCATAACATTTGCTAAATCATCTCCAAACATCTCTCACTGTGAAGTTGCATGACCTGTTACAAGCCTGAATTGATGATTGCAGCTGAACTGCTGAAACCTCTGTTATTGAGATGAAAATCGCACAAAATGCTGCCTATTTGAAATACACAAATTAAATCATACCTGCCTTCACTTTTTATCTCTAATTATAAAGAAGGTTTGCACAAAAGAAGAGTATATGTACATGCTGATGAGAAAGGGCCTAAAGGAGAGAGACCAAGAGAGATGTAACCTTCCTGCTACTCTCACATGCAAATTGGTAGGGAAGTGGGTCAATAAATTCCAAGGAAATAGTTTTGTGGGACATAGGAATAAAATGTATATAATGCTGGACAGCCGTTCCCTGGGTATCTCTGAAAGCAATTTTCATCCAGACCTTCAAAAATAATAATAATAAAGTACACCTATTCCCTGCCACCATTCCCCCCTCGCTTTCTCTGTATCTCATCCATAGAAGACAGATCACAAGGAAAAGGATATGTTAAACCATACCCCTGTTCACTTACCTGGCTTGTAAGTTATTCCTGGGGGAAAGAGGAATCCCTGCTGAGCTGCAGCAGCCGCTGCCAGTGTCCGCTGGTCGTGTGGAAAAATTGGGATCATGAGCGGAGGCATGTGACCCTGAACCTGCTAAACAGAAGAGAGTCTCTGATCAGAAAGAGCACAAATCTGTCTTGACAGATACCTCTCCAGCACTGATGGTTTGCTTGTGTTCACAGAGTCCCACTGAACCTTCTCCTTACCGTCATCCTTACCAACTTCGCATTATCACTTCAAAGCCCTGTGCTAACATTGCTCTTCGTCAGTGTCAAAGGTGCAACCTTTTTATTTGCTTGCATTTTTCCTTATTTCTCCTAGTTCTGTGTCATTTCTCTGCGGGTGCTGCACATGGCCTTAAAAGGGCATTTATTTGTTTGTTTGTTTGTTTACTTTTGTTTCATTTTGCCTTACACTTCAATGCTGTCCTTTCATTTGTTTTTCAAAATATTGATACAGCTTGTTATGCATTTCCTCAAATGAAACGGAATTTCTTGAGATTTAAGATGATAGCATCTTGGCTCCCACGTAAACTAATATCGCTTGCCATTCCCTCCCCCCCCCCCCGTAACATCTAAATTGCTTGTCCATCTAAGTCACTCTTATAGTTTTAAGAGCTATCATGCAGGCTGGTAATTAAGGAGTGGCATCCAGAGAGCATTTGAGAATAAATCCCACTCTATCAAATTCCATTTGACCTTCATAAGTGTTTTTAAAAGCAACTTAAAAGAAAAAAGAAATAAATTTTTAAAATGTGAAAATAGAAAGTTCTTTAAATCCTAGTCAGAGTTCATGTCGTGAGGCCAAGGTATTCACAGTTTCTTTCTCTGAAAATGCATCTCGCTAAAGATTGAATTTGATGGTATGCTTCTGTTTTTTTCATTCATTTAGTCCATCACAGACTCTGAAATAATCAAGAATTTTGCAGATGATTACAGCAGAGTGAATGTAAACAGGTTTCTCAGAAACATAGCTTGGAAGTACATGAAAAATTGCTGTACAACAAGAAAACGACTTCAGCCCCTTCTCCTGTTACAAATGAATGACATCAACTTCTATTAAAAAGTCAAAATGAACTCCAAGCAGTTTCTCTTTATTCTAAGTCCCAGAGAAAAAAAGAACACCACATTTTTTTGGCTGGTAAAAATCCATATGCTGACCTATGACACTGTTTAAATAGTGCCAAATTTTCTTGTCATACCCCTGTTCCTCTCCCAACATCTGATGCAGACCAGAAAGGCTACTGTGTGTGTAGTTCTAAGAGAGTTAATTTACCAACAACTCTTCTCTGGGGGAAAAGCCCTACGATGTAGGTTAATAAAGGTCAAACAAAATATAAACACTTTACAGTATTTTTCGGAATCCATTTCTCAGGAAAATCAACTTATAATAAAAAGGTCTTTGTGCAATTACTGCCATGGCACTCGGGCGTGAAAGAAAGTAGCTGCGAGCAGCCATATCTTTTATTTTAGCTGAGGTAAGCCCCGTTCTCCGTGTTAGCAACACATTTAACATGCTTAAATTGAAGTTGATCCCCTTGTGCCTAGTATCAACTTTTTGATAAGACCACTGAGCCTGTTGTACGATAATCTTTCCTACTATGTCCCTGCGTAAGCATAACACAGAAGAAACAGTGTTGCCTAATGTCAGGAAAGAAAAATACAGCATCTAGTCCAATCTGAAAAAAGGATATCTAACAATCTTTTTGAGAATGATAGGCAATCTGCAACAATACTGTACAATATTTATATTGCCTTTTGTGGAATGATATAGGAAAGCAATAAGATGATGGGGAGGGCCGTCCAGTTCCCAAGCAGAACTTTGGGCTTGTAGGACCTCAGCTTCTCTGCAACACCAAGCCCTCCCTGCTTGGTGGGGTGTGAGGCAGCTGTTTTCGTTCCATCTACCTTCCCTCCCCCTGACTTTTACTACCTGCTTGGAGAGAAGTGTATAAAAGTCAGAGCTTGGGTGAGGACTGCTATCATCAGCATTCCTGAGGAGAGGAAAATAGAGGTGCTGTGTGTCATTTGCCAGGGGAGAGGAGTGTGGGGGCCAGGGAGACATCTGCTGTTGTGTCCCTCCACATCTCCTGGTGAACTTTGTCCTGTGGGACCTTGGCTTCTCTGCAGGACCAACTCTTTCCTGCTTGCTCGATCATGGAGCAGCTGCTTTGCTTTCTTTTCTCTTTCTCTCCCTGCGGTTACCACTTATTTGGAATGGAGTGTATAGGATGCTCACCTCTGCTGCGCGCAGAGGATCCCTGCACTGTGGGGACTTTTTGCTCATGCCTCCTCGAAGGAGATGGGCAGGTGAAGATATCTATAGGCACTTCAGATGTGGCAAGGCTGGGGGAGAAACTATGCAAAGGGCTTTATTAAGCCCGCCCACCTGCCCTGGCTTGCCCTCTTTTGCAATCGGAAGCCCACCCACCTGCCTTGGGTTCAGTGTGGCTTATCTGGTTGCTTTCGGGTTGGATAGAAATTTTTGACCCGTCTTACCAAATTGGCTGTACAGTCGATGGTTGTATTTTTGCCTATCCCATATTGGTTGCTCATGGGCTGTTAAGGGCTGTTTGATGGTTTTAAATAGGTCACATTGGTGGTAGTGCAGAATGGGAAGTCAGTTTTGGTGAGTTCCTAGTAGGCACACCAGGTGCTATTGCGCACAGCATAGCAGCAACTAGGATCACGAAATTCACTTGCTCTGATGAGGGTTGCATAAGGGGTCCAATTCGGTCATTGGTCATCTAAGTTCAAATATCGGATGGGTGGTGGCTGGGGAGGGAAGCCCCATTTTATCTGGCTGGGTACGAGCTGCCATGGGGACAGCTTGAACCAGGGGTTTGGGAATTGACCATTGGGGGCCAAAGAGAGGGTAGGTGGTACCCCTGGAGCCTGTCCCAGGTTTCCGCACTACATTCAGGCCTCTCTGCAGGTTGCAGATGGTTAAAATTTTAATTAATACAGTGGATCTACTTAACTCCAACACCTGTGTCTGTCTCTTTACTCTGGGAGTGGGTGGGCAAAGAGGTTTTTTTTGTTTGTTTGTTTTTGGGCGGGGTATGTTTTGTTATTGTTGAGAAGGAGAGAGGGATAAGGAAGAGGGGTCATATTAATATGGCCTGTGCTTGTCTGGCTGTGTTTGCTTTTGTCTTCTGAGGAGAAATTTAAGGAGAGGGATATTGTAGGAGAGCAACCATTGCAACTACAGAGGACAGGGGGAGATATGGTTTCTGGAGAACAACATTATGGGAGGAGGACAGAGAATAGAGTGCTATTTCCCTCCACCCCCACCCAAATTCGTCTCCCAAATTAAATAGCCTTGAAAACCTTAATGGCAACCCTTAGGGATGAATGTGTTGCTAAAGGCCAAACATTTAAAAAGTATGACAGCTAGCATCCAGGAGTTGATCCTGCATGAATATGCTGACCTAGCTTTCATTACAGAGACCTGGTTGGATGAACCTGAGGGAGTTAGTCTCTCTCAGCTTTCTCCAGCTGAAGTCTCTGTGCAGCAGCAGGCCACATCTGAGGGGGAAGAGCAGTCACAATGGCCTGTCAACATTCAGTCACTCTTACCAGGTGTCCTGTCCCACAGACTGTGAAGCTTGAGTGCATGTACCTGAGAGTGGGTACACTGGACATAATACGGATTCTGCTGGTGTGCTGCCCACCCTTCTGTACAACAGTCTCCCTAAGTTAGCTGAGCTAGACTCAGATGTGGTGTTGGAGTCACCTTGGCTTTTCCGGGGACTTCAACATTCATGCAGAGACAAGTTAATCAGGAGCAGCTCAGGACTTCATGTCTACCATGATGACTATGGGGCTGCCCCAAGTGGTATTTGGCCCAACTCATTTTGCAGGGCACACCCTTCACGCAAGGTCAGTGAAACAGTTATTTCTGCATCCCAGAACTGCTTCGATCAATCAGAAAGCTTTTGGAGACAACACAGAGATTCAGAAATCTCAGAACCTCAGGAGAGATTCCTGTGGCTTAACTTCTCCTCGTTGTCCGTGTTCTCTGAGAAGAGAAATTGACATGCAGCCAGAATATTCTGAACTCCTCTAATGCCTGGACATTATGATAGTGTGGAAACAAGGAAGCCACTCTGTCCCTTTTGATAGGAGCAAGCCATAGTCTAATGATCACATAATACGGATTCTGCTGGTGTGCTGCCCACCCTTCTGTACAACAGTCTCCCTAAGTTAGCTGAGCTAGACTCAGATGTGGTGTTGGAGTCACCTTGGCTTTTCCGGGGACTTCAACATTCATGCAGAGACAAGTTAATCAGGAGCAGCTCAGGACTTCATGTCTACCATGATGACTATGGGGCTGCCCCAAGTGGTATTTGGCCCAACTCATTTTGCAGGGCACACCCTTCACGCAAGGTCAGTGAAACAGTTATTTCTGCATCCCAGAACTGCTTCGATCAATTAGAAAGCTTTTGGAGACAACACAGAGATTCAGAAATCTCAGAACCTCAGGAGAGATTCCTGTGGCTTAACTTCTCCTCATTGTCCGTGTTTTCTGAGAAGAGAAATTGTCATGGAGCCAGAATATTCTGAACTCCCCTGATGCCTGGACATTATGATAGTGTGGAAACAAGGAAGCCACTCTGTCCCTTTTGATGGGAGCAAGCCATAATCTAATGATCATATACACTATATAAAGGTGTTAACACTGTGTAATGCTGATACCACAGTCCTGAATACCAAAGGTGTAAGCCACGAGCAAGACAGTGCCATCCCAAGTGACAAACATGATAAACATTTTTAACGATGCACATAGATTTGGCAGTTTGACCCAAGAACTTGGTTTCCTTTCTGGCTATGCATGAAGTAAATACTGTACATATAGCCAAAGCTGTAACTAGAAAGGAGCAACTGGGGCTTTGCTCCAGAGCACAAAAAATGTAAAGGGCACTGAAATCTAGAGGTGAATCTACTGGTGAATGTCAAGAAAATAAGCTGAAACCCCTCCCAGCCCTATTCACTTTGTAATTTCATTTTATTTTATTTGCAAGCACACGTTTTCTCTTTATTTTGTGGGGCACCCCACTCTCTCCCTCCTTTTTCACAGGGGACCTACTCCAT